TTTTTAATATATTTTCATTGGTTTCAGAGAGGAAAGGAGAGGGAGAGAGAGACAGAAACATCAATGATGAGAGAGAATCATTGATTGGCTGTCTACTGCACAACGCTACTGGGGATTGAGTCTCCAGTCCGGGCATGTGCCCTTGACTGGAATCGAATCTGGGACCCTTCAGTCCTCAGTCCACCGGCCGATGCTCGATCCACTGAGCCAAACCAGTGAGGGCGAACATGGGTGTCTTTGATGGGGACATCAGAAGGCCGACCACATAGGGTGCCTTTTCCCCCACCAGAGGGGGCAGGGAGTGGGCTGAGGTTCATCAGGTGTCAGGTCGCCGCCATGCACCCCGGAGGCCCTGCACACACCAGCCAGAAGGGAGCCCTCTGCCCTGGAGCAGCCTCACCCATCTCCGCCTCCTGCCCCACCTTTAATTCGGTTCATCGCTGGGCCCCCAGCATCGCCCAGCACAGGGCCTGGTCAGGAGTAACCCTGTCAACGGAGTGAATGAGTCACATCCACAATGGACGCCACAGCCAGAAGCTCACGGTTCCCCCTTTGCCCCTGCTGCTTGGCTGGAAACCCCCGGGCCCCCTCCCAGCCTGTGGTGGCTTCCCCCTGCCTGCTGCCCCAGCCCCAGCTCCCATCTTCCTCCCTCACTCCTGCCTCCTTTCGACAGCCACCCAGCCTTTTTCCACACCTACAACGTCCCTGGGTCTTTCCCACCTCTGAGCCATCGCGCATGCTGTTCCCTCTGTCGCTGTTCCCCACACCATCGCCTCCACCAGCCTGACCTAGCGGCATGAGGACACAGAAAGCATCTGTCTGGTCTCCGCGGTGTCCCTGGTAAATATTTGTGTTCATTTGGCTCTTTCTGGAATTCCGGGCTGTGCGCTGTCTGGGGCAGGGCCTTCACCTCTCACCGTGATTTCAACACCGCCCCCCACCCTCCCCAGGCCTCTAGATGGCATTGCCAGCAGGTCCGGGAATGTGCTGGCTCACACAAATAGGTGTCCAAGCTCGGACGGGGTACCTGCTAACATCATCCGTTTGTTTCAAAAAGAGACCAAGGGGGCCCAGAAGCAGGCATGTTTCTCGGACGCAGGCGCACAGAGCGGCCGGCTGAGGCCAGCCAGCAGCCCCGGCCGGTGGTGGCGTTCGCGGACCCTTCGCCTCTAAGTCCTGCTACGGGCCTGTGCCACCTGCTCACCCCCTGCCTCTCACCCTGGGTCCCAGACACGCTGTCCCGGGCGTAATCCTGCGGTCTGCCTCCCGGGGAGAGAAGGTGCCCGGCCTGCTGACCAAGGCGTCCCGGTCTCAGCTCAGTGATTTCCGTACTTAGTTATGAAGTAAACCGGACACGGGGGACACGGTTCAGGACACGGTTCAGTGCGTGGGCTCTGGGGCCTGGCGGGCTGGGTCTCAATCCGGACCCTCCCCTTTGTTT